CAAAGTTCATATTGCTTAAATAATTTCTAGAATAATCAGGATTTAGACAACATAGCAAAACCATATGTCCCTTACACAGGCATGAGGAAGAATTTCATTCTACCTTCAAAATCTTAAAACATAATTATTACAAAAAGTAAATGGTTGTGTTTCCACATTTATGAAATCACTATATGGTTTTGTCTGGCTTTAGCTTAAAATGTCAAGTGATTTATTCTGGGATTTACTCATTGTGTTAAATTATGAATTAATTATCCATAGTTTATTAAATAAACCATCATTTGTTAAATTCAATCCTAAACTCATCACAGCCATATTGAGTTTAGCAAATAGTGGTTTATTTAACAAACTATGAATAACTAATTCATATTTTAACACAATGGGTAAATCCCAGAATATCTTTACCAATGAAATATAGAAATGTGGAATGTAACTACTACTAGATTCATGTACAAAGCATCAACACCAATATTCTTCAGATATGATAGACACATCCCATTTTCTTTGATTAATAAAATATTTGCAAAATAATGTGGGCCCAGTTTTTGTTTATATGATTTATGCACAATTCTTTGAAGATAAAGTCCTATTAGCAATTGCATAATTCTGTTAACTCCAGCTCTCAGCAATTCTCTACTTAGAATATTAGTCCTGAAAATATTATAATGTCCTTATTTGGGCAGGCATTTGACAACAGGTTAATCTTATTTCAGAATGTTTTTTTAAACATGTTTTCAATGCTTTGTTGACATTTGTTTGGGGGGGTGTTCAAATGCAGTATGCATATATAGAGGACTGATCTGCTAGGATTAGGCAAGCTGCAGAAAAAAACACCTCATCCCTAATAAATCATAAAATAAGTGAAGTTTCCGAAGTGTGAGCAAAATGCTTATGTGTAATCTTAATATAGGAAGTATTAAAAAGGAAGGAGTCCTTACAGCCTGGTCTAGTCAGAAGAAAGCAGACACAATGGCACCAATGGCCATAAGGGTATTCTTAGTACAGATTGCTATACTGATACACAATGAGTCAGTCAGGAGAAAGTACCTCAGTTAAGTTACTAAAATAGGCCATCTTGGTCTCCAAACTCTGAAGTTAGAAAGATAAAGTGTCCTTTGAGCTGAATTGAAAGGAGATTCTATTAATAATTCAAAAGTAAAGAGGTCTCCCCCAAATAACATGGAAGCTTCTTCAAAGAATTCTCAGAGGCCTCTGGAGTGCATTCAAGAGCAATGCTGTAAAGGAAAAATAAGCTGCTGTTTCTTATCTTATCAGTGATGAGTTTTGACAATTCAACACTGAAAGTCTCTCCCTCACCAAACACAAAACAGCAGGTTATGACATGGGTCAAGGTTTTGTACTTGTAGTAAAGTGTTTTCCTATACCCTCTGAGGACTGAAAAGTACCTCTCCTTTCCTTTTCTTTTTCTTTTTCTGATATGGAATTAGAAACATTATGCTCTACTATCTGAAAAGAGTTTATCTACAGAATATGTGATGGAAATTGACAAATAATTCTCAGGGCAAGTAATTCTGTCCCACCTGAATTTTGATGGTTGAATAACACAACTCTATAGAAAACCTCCCGACTTTCAACAGAAACAGGGCAGTACATAGCAAAAGCCTCACACCATAGAGAAAGAAAGGAAGGAAGGAATAATAGAACAGAATATTATGTGAGGATAACAAATTGTAAAACTCTTGTGAGGAAAACAGATGACTACCTCAAAGCCATGTATACTACTCTAGGACAATAATCCCCTCTACATAGACATCTCTATTTTGAGGGCTTTTGTGTCCAGACTCAAGATTTGTAAAAACAAAAGATAATCCATCAACATTTAGACTTGAAAGGTTATTACCATCAGCATACAGCATGATCCATATTGAATTTCTACATTCTGTACTAAATGATGGAAAGTATTTTTAAATGTATAAGTAGTTTAGTATACCTTTTTATAAGAATATAAGTAAAACCAGTTGGAAATTTAACTTTGTGAAATAATTAAAACTTTATTATGTTTTCCCAATTAAATATTATTTTTATAAGCATTATTACTTAAATTTTGCTCTGAACTCGTTATACACTGTCAAGTTAAAGTTGAGTCTTAGTGATTACTTAGATTCTTATAAAAAGGTAT